TCATTTGACCATAGATCGGTTTTTTGAATATGCATGAAAAACTATTGGAACATGTGGAATATGGAGAACTTGAAGAAGAAATTCCAAAGATTTCGACATTGCTAATTGGATAACTAGGACCTATGCAGGTTGGAAAAAACAAATCATTTTAAAAAACATAGTAGATCGTCAAATTTTTACCCAAAATTTTAATATATAGTATTTTTCTGGCAATTAAAATTAAAATGTTAAAATTTTGCATATGGATAATATGGATAGATTTGTGTAACTATTTTGAAAGTCATTTATTATGATAAGTTTTTCAAAAATAAAATAATAAAAATGGAATCCTCATCTAATGAAAACACCACAACACCCAAAGAAGCCACAATTCCATCACCTCAAGCTTCTTCAAGTGCCGAGTTATCATCCAATTCATCAAATTCCACAGAAACAAATTCTCAACCATCTAATAATAGGCTTCAGATAGATGACATCTATAATTTAAATGAATCACAAAAGGCTGCTTTAGAGAAAGCAAAGGCCTATATAAAAGAAATTCAAACTGTGGTATGAATAGATCTCTCATAAAATCTAATTGTTTTTCTTTCTAATCAATAATAAAATGATAAAGTTGATGTTAGCATTTAGTATTAGCATTATTAGTACAGTGATTTAATATTAGCATTAATGATATTAATAGTAAGAATTTTTGTGGAATTAATAATTATATTATTGAAAAGGCCTTCTTCATATTCACAGAATGCATCAGTTGTATATATCTACTTATTTATCATTAAATAATCATGATTTAAATTTATTTCTATAGCTATTACAAACAATTGAAAAAAGGAACGACTCGTTATCACCGATTGATTCATATTATTTTTCAACTTCTGCCTCGGGATTAACATCTGGGTTAATGGATCTTCGATCTATATCTGTATTATCACGCATTTATGTTGGATCAATTAATTTTGAGTTAACTGAACAACATGTACGTGTTGTATTTGGTCAATTTGGTACAATAAAAAGCATCAGCATGTCTTTAGATCCACTTACAGGCAAACATAAAGGATTTTGTTTTATTGAATATGAAACTCCTGAGGGTGCATCATTGGCTCTTGAAACAATGAACGGTGCTGAATTAGGCGGAAGGTATTATTATTAGTATACTATACTAATTTTGTATTTTATAAAATTTCTAATAAATAATTATTTCTTTCTTGATCATTTATAAATAACAATAACAGACAGTTGAAAGTTGGTAGACCAAATAATTATACAGCTGCTACAGCTGCTGGTCAGGCTAATTGATTTTTTTTTATTTGTTTTGTTTTATATTTGTTTTGATATTTTGAATATTGTGTTATACTAAATAAAGAATTATAGGATTTTTACCACCACCAAAGACTCGGATATATGTTTCGAATGTTAATGAATACATAAGCGAAAGAGATTTGATGAGTATTTTTGAGTCATTTGGCAAGATCACACAATGCGTTCTAATGGTAAATTATTTTTTTAAAGTTTTATCAAGGGAATTTATATCCAAAAATTTTTATATTTTTTTTTATTAAATATTAGCCTGATCTTATTACAAGAAAACATAAAGGATATGGGTAAGATTTATTATTTTATTTTTATTATTACGATGATGAATTTTTGTTGTTGTTATTTAGGATTTCTATATTGGAACACTAAGATCTTATTTTAGTCATTATGAAGATTAAAATAAATTAAATTTATAAAGTCTATATAATCGAGGGGGTTTTTTTAATTATATATATAACTTTTATTAAATTTACACAGATAATCTTTGAAAATATGGAATCTTTGTCAATAGTTGATTATTCATTATTATAATTTTACTTTGAATTATAACTCATTACTTTTGTTTATGCACTCTATGTACTCTATTTCCATATTTCAATACTATATTATATCTTTTCTATTTTTCTATTCTATTCTATTTTTATTTACATAAATCACTTTATATATATATACTGGATACATCGAAAGATGGTGATTATAATATTATTCAGAATTTCATTTGGATCTTAAACGTTCAACATTGACCATTCAGTATGTTCAATGAATTTTCACCTTGACGAAAAAACAACAAAAAATTTTTAAATTTTAGAATATTATATATACACATACATAAATACACATACATAAACACACACACACATAAATACACATACATAAAGACATACATATACACATACATTTATATATTTTTACCATTTAAACAACAAATTATTATTAACAAAATCATTACCAATTTCTATGCATATATAGATTCATTGAGTTTGAGGATGAAATTGCTACAAATACATCGGTAACATCCATGAATAATTTTGAATTGGGAGGGTTGATGTTACGTGTAAGGAAAGCAGTAATCGGAGGGCCTCTTAGTGAAGGTATGAAGTCAATTGAGAAGTTACCGCCACCGCTGCTACCACCTCAACAAACATCATCATTATCATTTTTTGGAGGGATGTCATCGTCGTCGTCGTCGTCGTCTTTACTGTCTGCAGCAGGTTTTTTTTTTTTTAGTTAATAAAATTTAGTATAATAAATTTTGATTTAGATGTTATACCTACATTATTATATATTACATTTATGTTTTATTGTAGCTGCAACTGTTAAAGCTCAAAATGTAGCAGCAAAAATAGCAGTGGATATTGTATCAAGAAGTCAAACGTCTGTGGAATCGGTTGCTCAAGAAGAAAATATGAGCATTACCTCCAGTCAACGTTATGCCATTATGCAAAAGTTGGCAAGACAAGATGTAAATGGATAATAATGTTAATGGTGATGATAATTACAATAATGATCAACACACAAATAATTTATTTCAATAATAATTTCTTTAGTCATCTCCTGTTTTGATAATTCGTAATGCGGTTGTCCCATCAGAAATTGATGAAGCTCTCGAAGATGAAATTCGTGATGAGTGCAACAATTATGGTAAGGTAGTTAAAGTAGTAGTCCATCTTAGTAAGGATGATAATGAATTTGAAAGCGAAGAGGAATCGGTGAAAATTTTTGTTCAATATGATGATGGAGCAAGTAAGCTTTTGTGTTTCTTTTTTTTAACATCATTATATTGTCTTTCTCGTTTTCATATACATTAATAATTAATAACAAAAATAAATTTGTCATATGTTGTAGCTGCAGAAAAAGCCAGACAAAAATTGGATAATAGATGGTTTGGTGGACGTAGGATAAGTGCATCGTCATATGATTTTAAAAGATTTCAATTAGGCGATTATTCAAATTAGAGAAAATATAAAACCATTAATTAATTAATTGACCAGTCGTGTTATATATTGATCAGAGGAAGAAAATAAAAAAATATGTGCTTTTTAAATTCGTGTTATTTATTATATATATATATATATACTAATCCCGACCCTATAGAAGCCTGAAAGTTCCGTGGATTCGCCGATTATTCTTAATTTGTAAAAGGTTTACAGAAATGGTTCTTTTAAGAGCCATATGAAAACCGAATTTGTTTCTTCCTTACTTGATTTGTATCAGAAACGATGTAAACAAAGAAGACTACAATTAGAAATGAATTCGCACGTAATTTTTGGAGGAATTTGATATAACAAAAATTTGGAAAATTTTTATGAACTTATTCCATAAATAATAATGATGATGATGGTAGTAAAATTTTACATGTACAATAACATTACAAGGCCGCATAGTAATCCAACTTTAAATTCTTTACAAAGAGTTTCTACTTTTTTAAAGAAAATTACTTTCTCAACCTATCTTTAATTTGTAATTGTAGTTTGTAAAATATTAATAAAATTTACATTAACATAATAAATAAACATCCAATTAATTAAAAAGATTGTACAATTTAACAATCACATATAAATTATTATTCGATTCTAATTATTTTATTTTCTATTTTCAATTTTCAATTTTTATTTATTTATTTCAATTCTTGAATAATTTGAATATCATTAGGGTCAATATCTTCAGGGTTTAATACTAATCCGTTTTTGACCTAATAATTTCTGGTATATTAATAACATTGCCATTTTCATCCTCAACAATTGTTATACTTCTTCTAATATCATCAGGATCAATATCATCAAGATTTATCACATTGCCATCATCATCTTTAACAATTACACTACTACGACTTGACCTATTGGTTCCTGGTACATTAATAATATTGCCATTTTCATCTTTAACAATTGCTATACTTCTTCTAATATCATCAGGATTAATATCATCAAGATTTATCACATTGCCATCATCATCTTTAACAATTATACTATTACGACTTAACCTATTGGTTCCTGGTGCATTAATAATATTGCCATTTTCATCCGCAACAATTGATATAATTCTTCTAACAACTTCAGGATTAACATCATCATCAGGATTTGTCATATTGTCATCTCCATCTTTAACAATCACACTACTACGACTTGACTTATTGGTTTCTGGTGCATTAATAACATTACCATTTTCATCCGCAACAATTGATATACTTCTTGTAACATCATCAGGATTAACATCATCAAGATTTATCACATTGCCATCCTCATCTTTAACAATTACACTACTACGACTTGACCTATTGGTTCCTGGTACATTAATAACATTGCCATTTTCATCTTTAACAATTTCTACACTTCTTCTAATATCATCAGGATTAATATCATCAAGATTTATCACATTGCCATCCTCATCTTTAATAATTATGCTACTACGACTTGACCTATTGGTTTCTGGTACATTAATAACATTGCCATTTTCATCTTCAACAATTGATATACCTCTTCTAATATCATCAGGATTAACATCATCAAGATTTATCACATCGCCATCTTCATCATTAACAATTATACTACTACGACTTGACTTATTGGCTTCTGGTACATTAATAACATTGCCATTTTCATCTTTAACAATTTCTACACTTCTTGTAACATCATCAGGATTTATCAAGTTGTCATCCTCATCTTTAGTAAATATACTACTACGACCTGACCTGCTGGTTTCTGGTACATCAATAGTACTGGTATTTTCATCTTCAAACACTGTACTTTTTCTAAGCTCATCAGGACTAATCATACTACTACGACTTGACTTAGTGACATCAATAACGTTGCCATCTCCGTCTTGAACAACATTTATAAGTGTTTGAAGTAATTCAATTTCAGAAGGATTAGCTCCTGGCGAATTATTATTAGAACTACCACTTTGATTTGGATTTATTTCTGGCACATCAACGCTGCCATTTTTATCTTGAATAACTTCAATCTTGTCGTCATCTTCATCGTTTTTGATATTACTTGGGTCAATTGTACTCTTTTTACCTTTTCTAGAAAATTTTCTAATTATTTTATCTGCTAGTTTTTCTTTTTCAGGTCCTGACGGCGAATCTTCAAATGGATCTTTATCTATTGGTAACTTGTCAGTAAGAATAGGATTTCCATCCTGTTCGTCTAAAGTTTGATTGTGCTTTCCATTTTTCGAATTTGAAGGTTGTAGGTTTGACATATTACCATTTTGACCAACTGAATTCGCACGTTTGATTTTGTTTTTAATTTTTATGAAAAATTTTCCAGCATTTGAAGTATTCTCCCCATCTTTTTTAGTTGGCAATGGTGAAGAAATTCCAGCATTTGAAGTATCATCATCATCTTTTTTAGTTGATTGTAAAGAAGTTTCAGCGTTTGAAATATTGTCTTTATCGTCTTTTTCATCTCTTTCATCTTTTTTAGTTGACGTTGAATGATTATCAGAATTTGAAGTGTTCTCTTCATCATTTTTTTTAATTGAGAAACTTGTTGATCTTAGTAATATTAAACCCAAAAATTTCATTAAATTATCGACATCATTATCTAAAGTTGATGGCATAAGCGGTACACCTTTTGGTGCAAATTTTTTAGATAGTTTTGCTTTGGATTTGCGGGAACAACATGTCCTTTGACATATCCCCCAAGGCGTTACTGCAGACCAACCTATATAAACACATATTGTGTAAATATTAAATTTTTGAAAGCAAAAAAAAAAAAAAATTCATCATTTATAATATTTATGTATAAAACAATACCGAATAGACAAACATAAATTCCAGCTAATAATGTATAAAATAATGATAATAATGCAATTGAATCCAGTATCTTGTAGAAATAACAATAAAATAAATTGTTGATTATTTTGAAATGGAATGAGAGAATATACATGTGTGTATGTATGTATATATATATATATATATATATTATAATATATTTACTTACATTATAAGTTCTGTATCAAAAAAGAAGAAAAAAATCAGTGTTTATGTTGTAAAAAAATTTCAAATTTAAAATTTTATATTAAATATCAAAAATAATCACCTAAGATCTCTTTCTATTATTTCAATCCAATTCAAAGTACCAACAAATAAAGTACCATAATTTTTAGGTGTAAATTGATCTGCTATACTGGGTATTTTTGCAGATTCTAAATTTTTTTTTTTATTTAAAATCAAATTCAATAAAAAAAATTTTTTTATCATCATTAAATCAATCAATCAATCATTATTGTCACCACTAACCAACTCTAGAATTAATATAAGTTTGAAGGAAATAAAATGGAGGTATGCCCAACACTTCCCAAAATGACGGTATAATAAATTCTCTTGTTTTCCTATCAATATACATTCTATTAATCTTTATAAATTAACAAATAAAATCGGACTAATTAATAAATCGATTAAAATAATATATATAATGTATGTAATATTTGAATTAATAATACCTGATGATGGGCTAACATATGAAAGTTAAGACTATCAAGTCTATCAATAAAACAAGGATCAATGCTACTTATAAGATTATTTACTGCTTCAGGTAATCTGTGTGGATTAAATTCTATATTTAAATAATTTTCAAATTAATGAGATAATGGTAATAGTAAATATTAACAATTACAAAGTTAAAAAAAGTTACCTTGATCATAAGCTTTAACTATAATACCATTATCATATTTTGGATCATAAGCAACATCATCGATATTGATTAAAAATTGAATGCCATAACGTTTATCAGGCAAACTAAAACTTAATCTTTCAGTTAAAGGTGCATCCAGAAGTTCAGTTGGGACTTGAAATTTTCCTGTGCATCGACCCTTTGATAAATCATTAGGATCAGGTTCATTACATACTGTTGGTACTATATAATTTGAACACGAATCCTTGTCTGTTTGAGATGTTGCTCTGCCATCTAATAATAAAATAATTCAAATTATTTAAGATTATTTCGATTACAAAAAAAAAAAAAATTTCCCTAAAGTAATAATATAAATCATCGATATCGTTAATTGATTAATAATTACCAAGGTATTGAAGTTGACAATCCATTGAAAAACTAAAATTCGCATTTATTACTAAATCTAAACGGTCCAAATTTTATTATTAATCTCGAATAAGGAATTAAAACATTAATCGAGGAATGTATAAATATATGTGTATATATACGATAAATACCTGGTATTGGTATATATGGTTTAGGTATTATCACGCTTGTAGTGATTCTTCCATCGGAGGCAACAGAATATACCATAAAAGCAAAAAATACCATTAATATTATCATGGAAATTATTAAACATGAAAACCTCATGCAAACTAAAGCAAGAGGTTCAGTCCCTTTCCTTTCATTTATTCTTTTTGGTTCATAAAACAATTTTGTCATTTTGAAATTTTTCTCTCTTATTTAATAAAACACATTAAAATTAAAATTAAAAATTAAATATATATATATAATAAATAAATATTGGTATAATCAAAACTAACAAAAAGGTAATTATTTATTAATCTATTAACGAATTTATTAAAAAGTAAAAAAATTGCGAAATTTTGATCACAAAAAATTCTAACTTCGGGTATTTATTTACAATCCAAATTCTGAATTTTGTTGTGATAACAATAATGCAGTGCATTTATTCATTATTAAAAAAATAACGCGGTAAATATATTTCCGACGAGAAAATTTTTGTGGCTGCGCGCGCACAATCAGAGTTTAAGGTTTTAAATATTGTTCTGAACATTATTACGGTTAACACGCCTTATTTTTTTATTGAGACGATAATAAAATAGTTAGTGGTTAAGAAAAACACTACTGGTGTATACTGCAGGCAGATTTTCATCTTTTCCATTTATAGATAGAAAGAATAAAAGATTACTTGCATAATTTTAATTTGCGTATGTGATGTCCATGATAACTCGATTAATTTCACACCCATTAAAAAAATCCTTTGCTGCAAAGTTAAACCGGCTTTTTGAAATCGCTTTACAAGCATTAAAGAGAGAGAGAATGATATTTTCTTATATATATATTGGGATAATATAAAGAATACACTTCTCTTATTACATGTGTATTTTTTTGCGCCTTTGTTCATTATGGTAACAAAAAGGCCCATTATTAGTATTTTTCTCGGGATAATATATTTTTTCAGCGTTATTATTATTACATGTATAAACAATAAACAGTGTGGAACATTTGTATAATGCATAAATATCTATATTTGGAAACCCCTATTCAAAATTACTAACTTGATGAAATTTATTATTATTATCATCTAATTGACTTAATTGTCGAACCTGCATTTAATATAATATCATATACAAAAGGGGGAAGGACAATTAGTGTAATTTGCTAAACCAAATAAAATTATTAATTCGCAATTCGCTAGAAACGAAAAAATAAATAAATACATATTGCAGATCGGGGCAAAATTTCCTTATGTCCCATTAACACAAAATATTATAATGCAATATCCCATATATGTATAATAAAAAACATTATATATCATTATAATTTTCAAGAAAGTATATATCGATAGTCAAGCACAACTTTAAAATCAAGGTCGGGATTATGGGTAGAAAAATACAAATTAATTTGTGTTTCGCCAATCATGTGTAGAAATCTATTAGTGAGGGAACTTAATTATATCAAAATGGGAATCTCAACGCATATAAAAAAATTATATTTATTCTAGCATATATTATGGATATTATTTATAACAAATAATAAGTTCTTTAATAAAAAAATGGATTTTGATAATAATCAAAAGAATAAAAAGACAATGGCCGACATATTTATATTAAATATAAAAAAACTATCCTTTGGTAGAAAATTTATTGTTTAAAAATAAAAACCCATATTCTATATGTTTAGTACAAATAGAAACAAAAAAAAATTAAATTCTCTATGTTTTTTAATATTCAATTTTACATGTAAAATCCTTGGAAAATCTGGCGATGCCTAATATAACAGTTAGAAAAAACAAAAAGTTAAAATATGATTTTTTTATATTTTTGAAACCTCTGAAATTTATTCTACCAAATAAAAATTTTTTTTTGGTGAACTTGGATGTAGTGTAATGTGTGTCAATTGAACAAATTGTTGTAAATTTTACTACGTATGTTGACTATCCCTGCGATTTTATAATAGACGATGAGTTAATTATTTCACTTGGGAAAAAGCAATAAAAGCTATTTATTTGTTTATTTTGGGGTTCTCTAGCAAAAGGTAGCTTAAGTACCCCTGACCAAAATTGAGTTTTTGAATAATATGTATTTATATTATAAGGATTATACTGTAACTGGTGAAAAAATCAGATCATATTTAATTAATAAAAAAAAAACGAGTGATTGGGTAAGAAAGAATTTTTTGAGTTGATCTAACGAATACGAACATTAATACATCTCAACAATCAGATCCTCAATGCAAAGTTGATAAAATGACAATGACAACTGAAAATGCGCCAGAGGTTTCTTTCACAAATGTATCTGGAGATAACAAAAGGTGGGAATTCTTTGAAACTAATAATGATTAAAGTAAATTTTCAACAGGAGGTTGTTTAAAGTAGTAGTTGACAAAACGACGACGACAACAACAAATAAAGCCAATAATGATGGTTATGATATTAGTCGCAATGATAATACTAACCACGATGATAGTAAGGAACAATAACGGAAACAATAACGGAAACTGAGGAAGATGCTCATAAACTTTTGCTTCCAAAGCAGATTGATCAATTAAGTTATTCAAGATTTGGAACTTGGATGTCTGTTTTCCATAAACCTGCAAAAGAAGTCAGAAGCAACTGAAAATTATATAGTTTGAACAGTGATGCGCTATTCACAGTAACTTTGTTTTTTTTTTCGCACATAGTGCACGTGGCGAATACACATTGTGTGTATAGTGCATATGCATACGTCAGGAAATTTTTTCTGATGCGGATTATTACACTATTTATGTAAGTTTACGGTGGCCCCATAATCTTATTATTATGCAATTATTACATTGAGTGCAAATATTACATGATTTTTTATGCAAATATTACAACTTTACATATTAAAATTTATGGACACAATATCATGGCGGGGAAAATTTACTGATGTAGTATGTGTATGTATAGAGCGCACACGTAAAAATTATGGGGTAACTATACACATCAATATTTGAATGTTCAAAATCAGCAGCAAGCAATTCATGCAAACCGAAAAATGGGACATTCTTTCTTCTTCTCTATAATCTTTCAATTTTTTAATAGTGAAACCAAAGAAATGACCTAATTATCCAATAATAAATATTTTAATTTTGTAATTCAGAGAACAGTAGGTAGGTTTAATTGTCCTTTGGTTATCAGAGTGGTATATATAGAACTATTAGTTTTTGATTATTCGCTTTGGATAAAAAGCAAAGGTTTAGTTTTTGTTCAAGTGTTAGAGTGTGAACGTAAAAGTGTTTGGCAAAGTATAAGGAATTATCAGTTGACAAACTATAAAGTGCTAACAGTTATTGACCAAGTCATTATCATCTATTACTGTCTTGTGTTAAAGTATGTACGGCTGTTAGATAAGCAGTGTTATAAAGAGATCAAACTAACAGAGCTTTTAATTGGATAAAGAAAAGTAAAAAAGGAGCTTTAAAAAAGCATTTTCTGTTCATAAAAGGACTACATTTATTTATTTGTTGTTAATTGTACCGTAAAGCGTGCTTACAGATTCGCCGAAGCCTTTTAGGTACAAGAAAGTGACAGTAAACAGGAGGATTGTTAAATAAATTTGTAAATAACTTAATTGATGAGTATTGTATCAATCTGGCTGAAGAACTGTAATTAATTAAGTCTACACTCATCAAAAATCATCGGATAAATAAAGTCGTCAAACTACTCGTTAAAAATACTCAAAGGCTAATACAAAACATGGTCTTTCGTCTCCCAAAAATACATTTTATTATTAATTTTTATTACTTGTTTAAAAGCTAGTTTTTAAGTAATTGTCAAACAACTAAAATCACAATTCTAGTCATGCAGCAAAAAAATCAATCTGCTGGAAACTTTACCACTAATAAAAGAAATCGTTTATCAACAGTTAAAAATGTAATTTCCTTAAAAGAAAAAATTTATTATGTAATTTTTAGAATTAATAAAAATTTGTATATTTACAAATTTTGTAATAAAAAATCTGAAAATGTTGAATCAAGTCATGACTATATCTAATTACAGTAACACTAATGCTATAATGGTTTACGGACGAAATCCAGTCGCGATTCAGCCGACTTGAAAATTTCTAGTCGCGACTATTACTAGTCAGCTAGCAACACTATTGACGAGTGTAGCCCAAAAGTTAATCCAAGCTCGGCTATAAACATAAAATAATCGGTATTTACCAAAAAGCTACCTGGAAATATATATTATAATTAGGTACGGTTAAGTGCCATAAAAAATCAATTAGTAATTTTATTCAAAACCCCAAACCAAAATCAAACCCCATACATACCATACCAAACTCATACCCGATGAGGATATGATACAAACTGTCCAAACCCATACTGTACTCCAGGTATGGGTCAGGTAAAAATTACGGGACCTGGCTCATTGCAGGACTCTACTGTTGGAGAAAGATGCTATAGTTGAGTTTGTGCAGTTTTCTTTTCAATATCCTCTTTATAGAATTATGATCCTTTTGATTTTATTTTCAATATCTCTATGATTAACTTTCAAGCCAGATAATGTTCCAAGAGACAAAGTCATATTGTGAGGTCGCATCCATGATAATTGCATGACTTTTAATTTTCACTTTAATTCTATGCTTCACTAACCATTTTCCTTTCAAATTCCAAATATCGCCATCACTTCAATTCTATACAATTGCTATACGGTATCAATTCTTTGCTATAGCGGTACGTTGCTATCCTTGTTGATGAAATTTAATTGCGAGAAAAAATGATTATTTTATTCTTTTTGTTTAACGATATTGATAGTTTTACTATATACAGTATGTGTTTCAAAAAAAATGGTGGTTTGTAAAATATTGTTTTTAATGAGAAGGTAGCCAAAATTATGTAATAAAAATTATACCAGAGAATTGGAAGACCTTAGATTATAACATAGAAAAGTTTTGAAGTATATTGTTATGTAGGTTTTAGAGCAATTATTAAAGAAATTTACACATTTGAATGGTTTTTTCAAATAATCAAATTCCTTTTATTTTCAATTGATAAAATTCTAGAAAATCTGGAAGTGTGAAACTTTATATACATAATCTCCAGAACTTTTGTTACAGACTGGTACGATTTTTTATATAATTATTATGTATATGCTTGTGTCAGAGCTATCATTAAAAAAGTTCCATGTTAAAATTTCAGAGACAAAAATTTAGCAAAGTTCTAAAAAAAAATATATGAATTAGCTTTACAGAAAATTGGAAATAATAGAATTTCATTTTTTAAAGTAAAATGACAAAGCTTTCAACTATGTTGTGTAATTGTTGAGATATGTGATATTTTTGTGACCACCATTTTTTTTTGAAACACTGTATATACTCACATCAATGTGATTTGTTGTACAAAGATAAATTACATAACTTTATTAGTGAAGATGTTTATTAGGACCATATATATCTCCTAATAAGGAAAGAACCAGAATGAGAAAATTTTGAGCAGTAATAGTTTCGGTGTCACTATTACTATTACCAATATTCAGCATTAAAGACACATTTACACAAGCCGTAAGACTCAAATTTATATCTAGGCGTGATTTTATCTTTAAATCCCTGTCCTACTTTCTAGTTAAAGAAATCTTGACATCTTTCTTTTCTGTCAAGAAATTCCTTGCAAAAGTTGTAATATATGGATTGCGTAATAATAGATTAAGTTCGATCACAAATAATAAGCCTGATGGTAATAATATAAACAACATTAAATATTATAAATTATAAATAACCAGTTGATCAGTTAAATCAATTGATTGGTAAAATTTAATTTCGTTACGGTAGACAGTTTTAATGTTAGTATATATTATGGGTCAAATTATGTTCTTTTTTCTAATGTTATTGCTAGTGATTTTAATCATGTTATGAATATGAACATAAGTATCCGGGCACCTGTTCTTACTAATTATAAAAAAACTCACATAATAACTATACATAAAATTTGTTAATATTAAAATGTAGCTTAGGTTTTGATGAATATGCAGGTAAATTTTGATATTCTTAAAACGTCTAGAAAAATTTAATTTAAAACCTCCGAAATTCGACAAAAATTGCGATATTATTCGTTGTTTATTTCAATTGCTCGAAAATCCTACATAATAATAAAAATGAAAATTTACATCAATTTGTAAAACCGCATTTATAAAAATCAAGATCGATAAAAAAATTTTTCTAATCTTAAAAATACCAAAAAACGAAGAGGAAAAATTTTGGGCCTTCATTAAGGTACTTAATTGGCCCTCACAATCCCCAGACCTTAATCCAATTGAACATCTTTGGAGTGAACTAAGGAGGCGATTAGATAAACGAACACAATACCCAAAAAATGCCAATGAATTGGAAGCTGATTTACAAGAAGAGTTGCAAGAATTCCATATGAAACTTACTACAAATTAATAGAAAGCATGTCTAGAAGGATTAAAGCATGTATTTCTAGCAATGACCAACTCGATATTAATATTTCATTTTTTTATTTATATTTTTGAAAAGTAAATATTTTGTTGATCATCATTTTCGGTTTTTTTTAGAAGTTAAGAATATCAGTATATTTATCAAAACTAAGCTAAAATTTTATGTTACTAAGTTTTTCATAATTAGTAAAAACAGGTGTCCAGATACTTTCATGAATATTCAGCACTACATTTCAAATTATGGCCGCCCAATCGTGTTTTGGAGACGTGACCTAGTTACTAGTTTTTTTAATATTCTATTAATATTTCGAAGTTTCTATTCGTAATAGTAATAGTAATACAGATTATTATTCGAATTTTTCATTTTTTTGTAATTAGTATTGGAATTAGTATTAGAATTACTCGTTTTATTCTCTTTATTCTCTTTATTCTCTTTATTCGCTTATTAGTTTTATTTGAATTACTCGTTTTATTCAAATTATTCGCTGTTTTATTCGTTTTATTTGTCTTATTGTTATTGTTTTATCAAATTATTCGTTTTATTCAAGTAAAATTTATTATTGTTTAAACATTGTGCTCATGATTAAAATCACTATTATTGTTGTTAACGGGTCATTTCCGACTGATTTGGTATGTAATATCGAATATATATGTAACGGAATATTCGTATATGTAACAGAATATTCATTGAATATTCGAATATTCTTGTATAATAATAACAATAATAATAATAATAATAATAATAATAATAATAATAATAATAATAATAATAATAATAATAATAATAATAATAATAAACATTCAAATATTCATCCGAATATAGTTAAATAATTACTAGTCATTGCAAAGTTATTATATTAAACAGGAATTCTGTTACTTTAAAGTTGCCTGCTGTGTCCAATAAATCTCAATTAACCAATGAAATTAATTAAAGTCACACAAATAATTCTCATCAGCCAATTGATGTTCAACGATGCATACATGCGACGTTCTGAAAGTAACAAATAAATATTTATAATTGAATCTATTGAACAACAAGGGAATCTTGGATATATATAAACAATTAATAAAATGTGATGGGTTTTTTTAATTTAATTTAAAACAATGACATTTAAAAAAAAATTTTTAATATTTTTAATATTGCTCAAATGCATATCTTTAGTGGTAAATTCAGCTCCAACCGACCCAAGACTTGTACATTCTACTGTTATTGTTGACAATAACTTGTATGTTATGGGTGGTTTTGCTAATGGTCTATCATCAAGAGAATTTTTTTCTCTTGATTTGTCACAACCATTTGATGTAACAACTCCACCATGGAAGGAGTTAACTGCAACTTCACCATTGCCAGTATTATCATCATGGGCTAAAGCTAGTTCCAACACTAAGAATGATACAATATTTTTATTTGGTGGTATCATGCGTGATACTGTAACTGGCGATTTTAATTTGAAGAGTGTAGTTTACACTTATGATTTTAAAAGCAATCAATGGTTAACAAACCCACCTGCTTTTCAAGGAATGGCACCTGAAACACGTAGAGAATTTGCAAGTGCTAGTGATCCATTGACTGGCAAATTATATATTCATGGTGGACTACATGATCTGAGTGTTCCTACTAACATTTATTTTAACAACTTTTTTATCCTGGATGGAAATAATTTATCCTGGAGTCAAATTGGAAAAACTGGCCCAAATATTCCACCTCCTAGAATTGACCATGTTGCTGTATTGATTGCTAATGGAGTAATTGTTTTTATTGGTGGAAGAGATGAATCTACTAATGGTGTTACAGTTTCTATGAATAATGTAATAAATAGTAACTATATAATGGCTAATAAAAATGTATAATTGTTAATTTATTATTAATTTATTATTTATTTAAAACAAAGCTTACATTATATGACACTAAAACCGACACTTGGGATTTAATGGTAATTATTAGTTTAACAGGAGAAATTTATTTTAGTTGGAAAATATATTAATCATCTTTTTTGTATTGTTTAGACTATAGTTGGTGGTCCAGTTGTTGATCCCCGTATTGGACATACAGCTGTATATAGTAAATAATATTAATAATTAAATATTTGTTTGTTTGTTTCTTATCATTATTAAAAAAAAATTTTTTTTCATTTTATATATTTATTTCTTAGCTGCTAGTGGTCAAATAATAGTCTATGGAGGATCTACACCTGCATTAGAAGCAACACCTACTCCTGAATTAGTTGTATTAGACACAACTAAAAAACCTTTTAAATGGATCATACCCCCAGTAACAACACCAGAAGTTCCTATCAACTCACTTACACGCCATCAAGCAGACTTAATTGGAGATTATATGGTGGTAACATTTGGTAAATAAATAAATTAATAATGATGATAATATATGTAAGTGCATATGTATATGTATATTAACATTATTTATGTACTTTAGGTAATATAACAAATAATGCTGGGCCACCTGTTAAAACAAGTAATTCAATTCAAATACTTAATGTAGTTGATTACAAATGGGTAAAATCATTTCCTGGTCTGTCTCCTAACAGTAAAACATCATCAACAGCTTTAACATCAGCATCAGCATCAGCATCGACATCAGCATCAGCATCAACATCAGCATCAGCATCAGCATCAGCATCGACATCAGCATCAACATCAGATTCAAGTTCTGGCCCTACAACGATTTTAATAGTTGTGATTGTACTTGGTATTATTTTGATTATTGTTGTATCAGTTGGGATTTTCGTTTTATATTATAGAAATAGACAAAAAAAAGCATCATCATCAGTTAATAACATACAAATGTCTTTTCCCCCTCCCCCTCCCTCTGATCCATTATCACCAGGCTCAGTAATAAAATACCCATTAGTAACAAATTCACAATACATGTAATACAACCATTTCCCCGAAATCAAAAATCCATTATATTTAATAATTACATCATCAACTTTTTTTAATTCAGTAATTTGTACAGTTTAGGAATCCATCAAATATTAGTGTCATGTAGATTAATTGAAATATTAAAAATGTTTATAATTTTAGAAATAAAATAACTATAGAAAAAGTCAAAAAAACTCTATACATATGTAAACTCGATAAGTCGGTCATGTCAGTGCGGACTCATTTAATTATACTTGGGCTAAAGTGGTTGACCGACTTTATATAGATCAACCGACTTATAGAGTGACCGACTTATTGAGTTTATATATATAACGCTAATTTTTTTTGTTGATTATGATTTTTTTCAAATTTGTATTAATATGGTTGCCGAATCCCACAAACTCGATAACAAAAAAAACATAAGTCATGTGATTTTCGAAGATTTTTTAGTTTCGTGGTCCTTTTAAGAAGGAAAGTAACACAATGATGTGTAAAGAGTTCTTGGTGGCATAAGAAAAAAGTTTATATACGTGTTAATATTTATATTATTAAAGAATGTAATATTATAACAGCAGAAACGAAGTGAATTCTTTGAATTTTATGAATCATGAAACTATACCCCGCTGATCATTTTTTACATTCTTCATAATCTTGGTTTTTTTTCCAGGTAAAAATGATTCAAATATATAAATTTAATTATCTGAAGTCATCATCATGAGTCGTACATATTAGTAATAAAAACCAAACTTGAAAACTAATGGTTTCCAACGTTTCTCGGGATTCTCTAATAATACTTACTTATTAGATCGTGTTTCTAATCTACTCGATCTTCTATTATCTTTTGATTTATTCATTTTAAATTTTAAATAAAAATTTATAATTAAAAAATATATATTTATTTTAAGAGAACTGGGCATTTATTAATAAGCATAGTATGTGTCAAAATATTTTTAATATTCAAAAACATCAATTAGTCCTAAAACTTTATTAATATTAGTATACACCTTTAAAACCATCAGTTGTAATAATATGCATACGTGACTATTTATTTGTCGTCAATGTCAATTGTTTTATTGGAAAAAAAATTAGACATTATTCCCTGACAAATATACTATAATGAACAAATTTATCTGATGTAAATTCTTTAGAATTTATAAATGATAAAAATACAAAAATAAAATAATACATGAAATGTTAAAACAATGCTTGAATATAAAATATTAATAATTATAATAATAATAATACAAAGCATGATGATAGGTCACTTCTAATCACAGGGAAGGGTTCACTCTAATTGGAGTATATAGACAATATAAATCATGTGATATTTTAATCAATCACAAAATTTTCTTTGTTAATAATTAGCACTTCCTTATAGTAACAAAAAGATTAATGTGAAAATTCCAAATCTAAATATTCATATCAATTAGATGAGAACTATAAATATAATAATTTATAACATAATAAAATAAATATTAATGTTGAAATTGATATTGAATTTTAGATTGATATTGATATTGATATTGATATTGATATTGAATTTAGATTGATATTGATATTGATATTGATATTGATATTGATATTGAATTTTAGATTGATATTGATATTGATATTGATATTGATATTGATATTGATATTGAGTTTTAGATTGATATTGATATTGATATTGATATTGAGTTTTAGATTGATATTGAGTTTTAGATTGATATTGATATTGATATTGAGTTTTAGATTGATATTGATATTGATATTGATATTGATGTTGAATTTTAAAAATAATTACCATTATTAATACTATCTAAATCAATTTGATTGGATTCTGTAAATAAAATTTATCTGGTATAGTTAATTCAATTTGTTTAGAATCTGACATGGTTAATTCAATTTGTTTAGATTCTATAATTGTTTATGATTTGAAATATCATTAATAATAAATAATTAAGATTAAATATATAACAATATATTAGATAATTACCATTATTATTACCAATAGTTGTAACTTTATTGGAGTTTACAGGTTGAGGAAGATTTGTAAAATTCAATAATCTACTTGTATAAATAGCATTTGGATGAACAGTTTTTGTAATTGTAAAAAGATTAAAGGGTTTTTTATTTGCTTCCTCAAATATTTTTCTCATTTTTTCTAATTCATCAAGCTGTTCTTCAGAATAATTAGACCTATTTAGTTGATATTTATCAACTGCATCATACCAAAAACTAATAACTTTTAAAATTTCATTTGATGTTGGCCTTTTTTCAGGATCAGCATCTGTGCATCTGTATGCTAATTTAATATAACATTCTGGAGTATCATCTGAAAAACTAGGTCTTAAGCCACCACAGATCTTGATAGCAAGATCTATATCATGTGGTTGATCTTTGAATGGTTGTTGACATGTTGATGTTTCTGACATTAAGATCCCAAAGCTATAGATGTCAGATTTTTGTGTGTAAGGTTTCTTATTCAAAACCTCTGGTGCAACATATGGTAGTACTCCAAATATATCATTTTTACTTGATGATTCTTGATCAGCTGGGCCTGATAATCCTAAATCTGCAATCATTGCTTGGGATAAATGTTGAAAATATAAAATATTACCACTGTGAAGATCACAATGCACAAGTCTTTCTTGATGGAAGGTGTTTAAACTTGAGATAATATCATAAAGCATTTTAATTTTATCATTCCATCCTGTATAATTTGATTTTATATAATTTTTAAAGCTTCCACTGCTTGTATATCTTATTACTAAAACATATTCTTTTGTAATTGGATCTTGTGAAATGCCATAAATATTAACAATACCCTTATAATGAGGTCCTATAAATTTAATATGATTTTGAAGCTTTGTAAAAATTAATAAAAAATTTAATATATATTTAAAAATCATTAATTGTTTTAATTGTTAATTAATTATTACCTCTTTTAAAAAATTTTCAGAAATATTTTGTGAGTTTTTGACCTTTTTTAATGCTACATGACCATCTACACGACAATATCTTTCATTCTTATTAACATATTTAGGACCATTTGACCAGCGACCCTTATATACAGTTGCAAAACCACCTTTACCTATTTCTCTTTCAATTATGAATTGGTCATAAGGAATCCATTCAAGGTAATGATAACTATCAAATCCTTTTGCTTCAAGCTGTGTATTTCTGATTATTTCATCTAATTTGTCATTACCACTGCTAGTCCAACTTTGAGCTAACAATTTGGGATCACATAATTTACACCACTGGTAATTAGTATTATGTCTTGCACAAACAGGACAGATTCCATATTCTTCTTTTCTTTCATTAAACTCTAACAATTTCAAATAATAGTTTTTCCATTATTAAAACAAAATGACATTTAATTTTCAACATAATGAGAATAGGCATTCACTTCCTAAGTAAAAATTATAAAAAGATAAATTTATAATATAGTTCTTACCATCTAATTATTATAAGGAAATAAAAATCAAATCATTTAATTAGGTGGTGTTTTAATAAAGTTTGTTTTGCATTGTAAAAGTTAATTTATAATAATAATTACTTACAATCTAAGAAATAAAAAAACAAATTATTTAATTAGATGATGTTTATTTTGTGTTGTAAAAGTTAATTATAATATAATACTTACCTCCTAAGAAATAAAAGTCAAATTATTTAATTAGATGATGTTTTAATAAAGTTTATTTTGTGTTGTAAAACTTAATTTATAATATAATACTTGCTATCTGGAGAAATAAAAAATAAATTATTTAATTATATGATATTTATTTTGTGTTGTAAAGTTAATTTATGATTTAATACTTGCACTCTAAGAAATAAAAAACCAAATTATTTAATTAGATGATGTTTATTTTGTGTTGTATAAGTTAATTTATAATATAATACTTACCAGCTGGTCATTAAAAAATTAAATTATTTAATTAGATGATGTTCTAATAAAGTTTATTTGTGTTGTAAAAGTTAATAATATAATACTCACCCCCTAAAAAATAAGAAATCAAATTATTTAATTATATGATGTTCTAGTAAAGTTTATTTGTGTTGTAAAGTTAATTTATAATACAATACTTACAAGCTGGTTATTATAAGGAAATAAAAAATAAATTTATTTAATTGGATATTTATTTATTTGTGTTGTAAAAGTTAATTTACAATATAATACTTACACTCTAAGAAATAAAAAATAAAATTAGATGATGTTTATTTTGTGTTGTAAAAGTTAAATTATAATATAATACTTACTCCCTAAGGAATAAAAAATAAAATTATTTAATTAGATGATGTTTTAATAAAGCTTATTTTGTGTTGTAAAAGTTAAATTATAATATAATACTTACAAGCTGGTTATTATAAAGAAATAAAAAAATAAATTATTTAATTAGATGATATTTATTTTGTGTTGTAAAAGTTAATTTACAATATAATACATACACTCTAAGAAATAAAAAAACAAATTAGATGATGCTTATTTTGTGTTGTATATAAAAGTTAAATTATAATATAATACTTACCATCTGGTCATTATAAAGAAATAAAAAATAAAATTATTTAATTAGATGATGTTTATTTTGTGTTGTAAAAGTTAATTTTATAACATAATACTTACAAGCTGGTTATTATAAAGAAATAAAAAATAAACTTATTTAATTAGATGATATTTATTTGTGTTGTAAGAGTTAGTTTACAATATAACACTTACTCCCTAAGAAATAAAAAATAAAAATTAGATGGTGTTTATTTTGTGTTGTAAAAGTTAAATTATAATATAATACTTACACACTGGTTATTATAAAGAAATAAAAAATAAAAATATTTAATTAGTAAAGTTTATTTTGTGTTGTAAAGTTTAATTTATAATATAATACTTACACCCTGGTTATTATAAAGAAATAAAAGATCAAATTATTTAATTAGATGTTTATTTTGTGTTGTAAAAGTTAAATATAATATAATACTTACACCCTGGTTATTATAAAGAAATAAAAAATAAAATTATTTAATTAGATGATGTTCATTTTGTGTTTTAAAAGTTAATTTATCATACAATACTCACCAACTGTTATTATAAAGAAATAAAAATCAAATTATTTAATTAGATAATGTTTTAAATTGTGTTGTAAAAGTTAATTTATAAAGAAATACTTGCCCCCTAAGAAATAAAAAATAAAATTATTTAATTAGATGATATTTATTTTGTGCTGTAAAAGTCAATTTATAATATGATACTTACTCCCTGGTTATTATAAAGGAATAAAAACAAAATTATTTAATTATTTAATTAGATGATGTTTTAATAAAAATTATTTAATTATTTACCATTATTGAATTTAGCTAAACAATTATTATAAAGCAAAATATTAAGTTAAGATGCAAAATCCTATTATTATATATTGTATTTTTAAAATATTTATAAGAAAAAATACCTCCATTCATTTTTTTTTATCAGGAGAAACAAGACAACTTTTTTATCACAATATTTTGGTACCTTCATTATGGGGTTGCCACAAAGGTTGAGTACAGTACACTTTGTGCAGTGAGTATAATACAAACATAGTAGAATTAGATTGAGTACAGTAACAATTATAGGTCCCACACACCCAACCCAAAAAGACAATTATCATTACCAAAAATGGTTAAAAATGGTTTGTATTATACTCACTGCACGAAATGTGCTGAGTTGAGATAATATTTAACGTAGTACAATCAAAATTTTTTGGAAGATGGAACACCAAACAAATGAAATCAAAATCTTGGAATTTTTTTGTGGCATAGGAGGAATGGTTAATACAAAGTTTTATTTTTTTATTTTTTATTTTTTTTTAAAAAGTAAAAATATCTTTATGGGGGTCTTTTTTTTTTTTTTTTTTAGCATTATGCATTCAATTTATCTGGAAAATTTGGAAAAGTAGTTGCAGCCTTTGATATTAATATTGTTGCCAATGCAGTTTATAAACATAATTTTAACAAGGAACCAATAGTGGTAAGTATCTAATTGGTATTTAATTATTTATGCATCCACACATCTTTATTCATTTACCTATTTATTTTTAAAATAAAGAAAGGAATTGACTCATTGAGTGTTGAAGATATTGAAAAGTATAATGCAAATTGTTGGTTTATGAGTCCACCATGTCAACCATATACAAGAGGTGGTAAATTTTTAGATGACAAAGATCCAAGATCCAAAGCTTTACTTCACCTAATAAATATATTACCAAAATTATCAAATTCACCAAAATATATATTTTTAGAAAATGTTTTAAATTTTGAGGTGATTTTTTCTATATTTAACTATTTAATTATTTATTAATCAATCAATTATTTTTAATATATATGTGTGTGTGTGTGTGTGTATGTGTATCTTTATAGAAATCCAAATGTAGAGATAAACTTGTTTCAGAATTGTACAAGATGAATTATGAGATTCATGAATGTTTATTAACACCTTTACAATTTGGAATACCTAATGATAGATTAAGATATTACCTGATGGCATGTAAAAGAAACAATGAAAAAAATCCAGCTTTAAATCATATCATTGAACCAAGGAATTATTTGGAAAACTCAATAATCAATACTAATTGGCCATTTAAATGTATGATTTTGGATAATAATGAGGATGAAGAGGAAAGTGGAGGAAAAGATGGAAAAGGAAGAAAAATTTGCTATGTTCAATGTGAATGTCAACAAAAATTTAAAATAAAACAAAAAGATGTCCCAATGTTTGAAACATTAGAGCTGAATAGATATTTGGATATCTTCTTGGATGATGACAATAATGTGATTATTAAAGGGGATAATGATGATGATGATGATGATTTGTTATTATTAGAAAGATTTAAAGTACCTGAAAAATATATTTTAAAAAGTTCTAATTTTAGATTTGGTATGAATAAAAATTTTTTTATCATTATTTGTAAAATTAATGATTACTAATATTTATATATATATAATTTTATAGATATTGTAAGGCCAACAGATAAAAAATCATCTTGTTTTACCAAAGTTTGTTATAATTTTTTTCTATTGTTTACACTAAAATAATAATAATAATAATAATAATAATTTTTGTGATTAATTAAAAAAGTCTTATGGAAGTCACAATGTTTTTTCAAGTGGGTCATTAATTCAAACCAAAAATCTAGAGGTAAAAAAAAGTCCATAATTTTTTTTATTTAAAAATAATATTAAAATAACATATAATGATACATATAATTTTTTTTTTTTAGTTTATAAATTATAATTTTGAAAATCCATCTACATTATTAAAATTGGGTTTAAGATATTTTACACCTAATGAAATATCTAGATTACATTTTTTCCCCTTAAAAAAAGATTTAACTGATATCAATAACAACAATTATTATTCCTATCATGACAATGATAATAATAATAACAATTGGTATCATAGTCAAGCTAAAGAATGTTTTACAAAAAATTCTATTTTTTTTGAATTTCCAAACCATATCACCAATATACAAAAATATAGACTATTAGGTAATAGCTTAAATTGCTTAGTTGTTTCAATAATATTTAAATATTTCTTGTAAAAATACTAAATATTAGAAAATTCTGATTGTGGTTGTTATTATAATTCACCATCTATTTCTATTTTTTTCAACAAGTCTAATAAATAATTTTTCTTCATTAATACATTTCCAGAAACGTATTAGATAAATTGATTAAAGTATCACTAGAATTAGTGATTTTTTGATGTATTATTGTATACTTTTTCTATTTTCTCTAATTCACAAAACCATCTATAGAGTCCAATTGACCATTACCATCTTGTTCATATTGGAATGTTGATTTTGATGTTTAAAACGTAATATTTCAAAAAAAAAAGTCTGTAAATGTAGATAGATACTTTTGATTTTTTAAATGGAAACCTCGAAAGGTTGCAATATTCGTTATAAATGACGTAATCATAGACAAATGATTGTTGATTGTGATTGTTGTTGGATGATTTTACTTGTTCATCTTTAATAAAATCTTTTTTTTTAATGTCTGCTATATAAATGAGTATTTTTAAAATGTTCCAAAAACTTTATAATTTGTTTTTCTGTCAACCCAAGTAATTTCATTTAAGCATTTTTGCTCGATGACAATTTTGATTGTTTTTAACTTCACAAAAGGATTCCATCAAAATGAAATCACAGATTTCAGGCCGACCTTTATAAAGACGTAAAATACCAATCATCGCAGACGTGGTTAATTCGAATCCAATGCCTATGAAAGTATTCAATCGGTCTATGAATTCTTTTTTATCTGGAGGATTTGGTGGTGAAAGTTTTTGAATACAGCCTTCGATTACCAAATCATTAAGATCTTTGCAAATATCATGACCTATCCCTTTCCACACATGTACAATTCCGGGTTCTAATGTGATTGCTCTTGCAACCATACAAAGTTTATCAGGAAATGGTGTAAATTTTGCATCCACAATTAGGTCTTTAATTTCTTCCAAATTCTTATTGATTAATATTGACGCCTGATCAATTTCTAGTGATTCACCGCTTAAAAGGCCAAATAATTCGACATCGTCGCTTTTTAGACATAAATTGGATGCAAACCTTGCACAACCCTCGTTAAATAAAAGCGAATATACATCGAACGGAATATCAGAGAACCACGAATCTGCTATTCGATTCAAATTGAGCGGATATTTTTCTTCAATATTCGATTTGATCTGTTGTGAAAATCTTTGGAAAAAATATCTTGAAAAATTTGCTTTTAATTCTAACAGTGATTTTATAACATCAACCGTAATAAAAGTTTTCCCCAGCCGAATTGCATGGAATAATGCATGTGTTTTTCCAAAGTTTCTTAAAATCCATTTGGCTTTTGCAATCGGACTCATACATAATTCGTAAATGTGTTTATTAATGAGAATAAATGAAAGAGGGAATTCATTGTAAATGTACACTTCTATTAGGAGTTCCGGAGGTAAACTTTCCATTTTGCATTAGAACTTTAAAGATGAAAGTTATTTAAATGAAGGAAACCAAATTTATTTATTCTTATTATCTACAATTTTTCCGCATTTCGTACGGGATAATTTTTTTTTCCGTAATTAAAATTAGAATTGTCACAAATAGAAACTAATAAAAGGGAATACAAAAGAAAATAATTCCGAAAAACATTTTAATTTTCCTCCTCCAAAGATCAAAATATTTAGAGTCGAATGACGACAAATATTCTTGATCAATAATTTCCACTGATAAAATGTTACACGAAATTTTTCACTGTCGCGTAAATTTTATTTTAATTATTATTAAAGCTATTCACTTTTCTATATTCATTTATTGGTAATATTACTACCAACAATGCTGAACAACCTCTCGCTGGGAACACTGATGTTGCGGGAATTATTAAAAGTTTTTCGGTTATTTCTGAAAATCCCTTTCATGTAAAATTCCACCATTTGAATTGATTAATATTTTCCTCGGAAACTGGTGTTACTATCTTATCTAAACACCACCCAAATTTTGGGTTATTGCATTTTCGTATTCTAAACATTGTATTAAAATTAATCCCTGCTGTAACGAGTTAGATTCATCATTATATTGAACATCTGATGAAGTTTCATTTAAAGAAACACTTCCTTTAATTATTTATTTTTTTAGTATTTAAATCATTTAAAGATGATGAATTTGATGATGATGCTTCTAGACTTAGTGTAAGTAGGATTACAGATATAATAATCTGATTAGGGAAATAAGTGAAAAACAAAGAAAAAAGATTTATTTATTTATTATGTTGATCTGATAAATAAAGGAAAATCTTTCGAGTTTGTTTTTTTTTTTGCTTTCATAGTCGCTTTATTAGTATTGTCGGAAAATAATTTTTTTCTGAATATGATTTTATCTAAGTCTGGCTTTGAATTTGAAAATAAAATTTATATATATATAAATTATTGAGACGATAATAGTATCTAACCAAATCACGAGTATATTCATATTTGCTCTTGCAATTACTCCAACAGCAACAATGCTTATTGTGGTGGTATGCATGCAACCTGCCAGGGATGGATATCCGATAAATGTTATTATAATTTTATAAAAAAAGGGCCCAGAAATGATTGTTAGGATCAAAAATAAATAAAGGAAAAATTATTTCCAAATTAAGAACCAAGGAAAATAAAATTACGAGTTTTAAAAACCGACCATCGGAATTTTAAAAACAAATAAACAAGTATGACTACTTTTTACTTGGTTGATTTTTTGTGTTATTGCGTAATGGCTTGTTTTGTTTTGAGAAACCAATTTTACTTGGCACTCAATACTGGTTATCTGAAATATATATATATACAGTACACGCTAATAAATTTTTGAGAGTAGAACAACCTTTACTTAGCACGTGAAACTTGTTATTTAAATATGGAATTCATGAAGACAAGTGTTATGTTTTTTGAACTAATTAGCTATTAGTTGTTCACGTAAGTTACGAATATCCGGATATTAAAATTATTTGATGTATTTTTTTTTTTTGTTAAAAGAACATTTTCATACCATTTTACAAAATGAGATGCTTGAGTTTTTTAGAATTGACACTTATTTTATTCACCATTCTTATTAATAACTCGCATTCAGGTTAGTTGGTTGGTTGGTTAACATAATAATATGAAATTTTTTTTACTACCAAATCGTCTAATAATTAAGTCCCATAACATAAAAAATTGTCACACTGTGTACCAGATCTCTTTCATTAATTTTACAGAATATCAAATATACATTACCTGGAATTTTAGTGCAGAGTTCAATGGCATAGACACTTAATTGGGATGGGTCCGTATGCATTACTTAAAATGACAAAAGAAAAAAACATACATTTGCTCAAAAAAAAAATAATAATAATACAACACACGCAGCAGGATAAAAGATAGTAATAAAGAAGCAATAGTAACAGTTGGAGTTTTTATTCGTAATACAAATTCTTAACCTTATTTGAATTATTTGAATTATTATTCGTTGATTCTCGAATTATTCGTTTTTTATTTGCTTTGGTTTTATTTGTTCTATTGTTTTATTTGTGTAATTCGAATAGAAACTCTGGTAATAGTGAACCATTAAATAGTAATAGTGATGGCGATTAAAAGATATAATAATGATAATGATATAATAATAATAATAACGATAGTAATAATACTAGCAAACTTAGTGCCATTTGAGAAGTTTTTTATCAACTAGAATTTATTTATAAAGAAAAAGAAATAGGCTCGATAAAGATAATCGACTTTCATATCATCAAGTTCTTTAGCCAACTAAGGTTTTTCTACCGGCTCACGTAACTACTCATGTGAACCTTTAATGCTAATCTCAGCCAGCAGTCGACATATTTTGAATGTTAGGATCTAAATTAAATTATGATTAGTTATCGACCATCCAATTGCTTCAAATTTCACCGCTTATTGTTGGAATTGGTTTATTCGTCGATTCTTTGTTTTTAAAAAAGTTCATAATTTCAAAATTCAGATGAAAATTTTACAAAAATCTCCCAGGTCAAATTTTTTCAATCCTGTATAAAAAAACCACACCTACCGTTATACTAAACAATTCCGCTCTCGCTAGCTTGAAATATGTAGTCACATATTATGCACATAATCCTATATTTTTTTTAATCCGTGATTTAAGATATGTAATCAAAGAAGCATTGTTCATGATTCCAAATACATACAAGGACGAATTTTATATAAATTGATTTGTTCAACTTGTAGTGTTACTGTTGATTTTACTAGAAAATCAACTATTGGCAAACATTTTAAATCTGAAAGATATTTTTCTCTAATCAGAGAATTTGTATGTCCCATTAAAACAACAAACATTCTCAACTCCCTTCCATGAACGTGAACAAATAAACATTGATCTAGTTCATCATTTACTCGGGAAAAAATTACTCTAGAGAAAGTTGATACATTAAAACATTTTTGCTGTGCAACTTTGGATCAACTCAAGCTAGAAACGATAACGAAAAGAAAGTTTGATTAATCAAAGAATAAAATAAGATGATGTGGGCTATTATCAATATTTTATTTAATTACTAAATTAGCTGTAACAGAACATCTCGAGACTGTTAGTAACACAAAACAATCAATTCTTTTTATTTCAGATATGTCAAGTTTTATCACATACAATTCCGATTGATTAATATATTAAAATTTATTAGAAAGTATTAAACATTAATTGCATATAGCCCGACAAGAAAAAGAAGATAGATTTAGTTATTTCTCATCTTGAAAAAGAAACGTCATTCTCGGACTTATTTCCGTTGGTTTGATTTTCGTTTTTGTGTCGGCATTCTACCAGGGTCCTTATAAATGTTAATATCCATTTTTGGAAATATAATGACATTATATCATACGATGATGGTCTAGACCGCTCTAGACTATTTATATCAACCAACCGTATGTTATTTATTTAATCACGTGATTTAAATTAATTAAAAAGACAATGGACCAATCAATTGTATATAATAAAATTTAATTAAAACCTTAATATTAAATAATTCGCACATTGTTTTTTTTATATAATAATAATAATAAAAAAGCATTTTCCTTTTTTCGATATTAATTTTTTTTGATTTTTTCTAAATATCAATTAGATCCGATTTAATTCATTTTTATTCGTTTTTTATTTTTTTCAACTTGAAAAATTTTTATTTATAATAAAAAAAATGAATAATGGTAATTCTGGAGGCACGGATTTTGTAAAGAAACTGTACAAGTAAGATCATACATACCACTTTCAATTTTTTCCGTTTTTAATTCCGTAAAATCATAAAATCACATTGACATTGGTATTAATTATATAGAATGTTAGAAGATGATACATATAACGATATTGTTTGTTGGGGGGTTGGCGGTAATAGTTTTGTTGTCAAGGTGATTATTACAATAAATATAAATCATCAAATTTGTAATTGATTTGATCATTTATTTTATTTTGCTAATTTTTATTTTTTTAATTTTCAAGGAAATCGACGCATTCACGAAAACAATCCTTCCTCGACATTTTAAACATACTAATTTCGCAAGTTTTGTAAGGCAGCTCAATAAATATGATTTCCACAAAGTTAGATATTCTGATGATTCATTCTCTCCATATGGTGAACAGGTATATTCATTTATAATATTAATTTTTGTATGTTGTATGCATTTTCTGATTTTTTATTTTTTATTAAATATATTATTTATTAGGCTTGGGAATTTCAGCATACAAAATTTCAATGTAATAAAAAAGATCAATTGGATAGCATTAAAGTAAATCTAATATTTTCATATATTTTATACCAATTAATAATAATAATAATATCTTTTTTTTTTTTAAAAACAAAAGAGAAAAGTCACCACCAACAAGAGAAATCAAAATTCAAATAATAACAACATGACAAATATTCCTTCACAAAACATTCAACTTTCGGAATTTCAAAATCAAATAAATAATTTAAATAAATTACAATATACCATGAATGATCATCTGATAACTTTGAGCAAAAATTATCATAGTGTTGCTCAAGATTTATTAAATCTTGAAAAAGGAATGATTGCTCGAGACCAATTGATACAAAATTTAGCACAACGTTTGGCTAGCTTGGACGAAGGTTTGTGCAAATTTTTACTATTATTATTATTATTATTGATCTTGGTTATTTATATAATTAATATATATATATATATATATATATATATATATTTATTTATAGAAAAATCATCTGATGGCCGCTCTTTCAATCTTCAAAGAACAACAACAACATTGGGAGTAGGACATAACATTAATAACTCAATTACCTCCCCATTCGTGGATCCTGAACAAGTACAAAAATTAATAAATTCATATACTGAAGCCATGAGACCTTCTATTGAAACCTCCAAACGTGCTCAATTATTACAAAATATGACAAATAACCCAAATAACCATAGTTCTGCTTATTCAGATTTTCAACAACAACAATTTAATTCGCCGATTGATTATAATAATCCTCAATCATCATATTCTTCAATACATTCATCATCATCATCATCGTCGTCGTCGTCGTCACCACCACCACCATCATCATCATCATCATCATCACCACACACAATAGGATCTAATAACTCTAGTAATATTGATATTAACAAAAATCCTAATAATGATTTGTTTAACAACAACTCTGTTGGTAATAATATGGGTGATTATTCTTCTGCTTCTTCTTCAAATAATAATTCTCATTTTGAAAAAATGGTTTTATCATCTCAACAACAACATCAAAATCAATTAACACCAATTAATAACAACAATCCTACTAATACCACACCATCATTCATATTGCCATCCAACAACAACAGCAGCAGCAGCAGCAGCAGCAGCAGCAGCAGCAGCAACAACAACAACAACAACAACAACAATAATGGTTCAACTTTAGGTCATCCAATTCTAATACCAAAACAGACTACTACACAATTAATGAATAATAATAATGATGATGTGAATACTAATTATTTATTATCATCGTCATCTTCATCTTCATCTTCATCGTTAATACCATCAACGACAACAGCTTCTTCTTCATCTTCTACATCACCTAATAATAGTCTAACAAAAATAGCATCATCAACTAACAGGAAACCAAACGTTAAGATGTGTGTTATGCAAAAGTCATTTGCACCTGCTTGGTCAGTTCCACCAAAAGTTTTATTAGTTGACGATGATGCTATTTACCAAAATATCGGGTCGAAACTTTTACGAGTTTTTGGTTGTTCTTTTGATATTGCCGTGGATGGATTAAGTGCTGTTCGTAAAATGAATTTTGCAAAATATGATCTCGTGTTAATGGTAAGATGACCAAAAGATTCCAGAGGTTTTGTTTTGATGATAATAATAACAATAATAATAATAATAATAATAATAATTTTATCTTTTTTGTTTTATTTAGGATATTGTATTACCCAATTTAGATGGTAAGCATACATACAACGCAACACACTTGCGCATATATTTATTATATACATTTAGTTGGGAATTTTTTTCTAACTCTCAATAATTATTAATATTTGTTAGGTGTTGAAGCAACTACTCAAATAAGAAGATTTGACATGACTACACCAATTATTAGTATGACATCGAATATAGGAGCTGATGATTGTTTCAAATATTTGTCTCATGGGATGAATGATATTTTAGCAAAACCATTTACAAAAGCTAATTTACTCTCAATGTTGGAAAGACATTGTAAACATCTTATAGTCATTAAAACTTTTCAAAATATTCCTAGATCTATTGTTATTGATAATAATAATAATTGTACATCTTTGGATGATGATAATAGGATAATTGAAGAAATTCCTGATAACACTAATATTTCTACTGGTGGCAGTAGTAGTAAAGCTAACAACAATAACAACAATAACAATAACAATAGCAATAACAATAGTAGCAGTTGTTGCTTAATTAATACTGGTTGGAATCAAAATCCTTATAATAACATTAACCTTGACAACAACAACAACGACATTATTAATATAATAACTGCTGCTGCTCCTTCTTCTTCTCTAAATACAACAACTTTTACTGCGATGATGACTAGTAATAATTATATGCAATTAATGAATAATCTAATGGTAGAAAGTAATAATCATTTTAATAATAATAATAATATTAATAATAATAATATTAATAATAATAATAATAATAATAATAATAATAATAATAATAATAATAATAATAATAATAATACAATGTTCGAAAACGACTGTGATGATGATAGATTATTAGAAGATCAACGTCCTCGTAAAAGGTTTAAATGTTAATTTTAAATACCACATCCATTTTGCCATTGGTGTTCTTGTACACTATTGTATTATTTTTTTATAATAGACTTTGTAAAATAATTTCTTTTATTTATTTATATATATATATATAATTACTATATTTAATAATAATAACAACAATTTACAAGACTAATTGCCCGTGACTTTACTAATAAGATTCATCCTTGAATAATTGAATTAAACACCTTCCCTACCTACTTCATGATGTCATTCTTGTTAATATTGACTGACATGTAAAATAATGAGTTTGATTATAAAAAAAATAATCTAAAATCAATCTATATCTGTTGTACGTGAAAATGAAATTATGTGAATTCGCAATTCACATATGTGAAATTCAAATTAGCCAATCACAATTTCACCTCACTCCATAATATTTCAATTTCACATACAACATATCTAAATCAAGTAAATCAAGTATTAGATAAAAATGACACTGTCTGTTCTTATTCACTTGTTTCTCGTATCGCAAAACGTTAAAAGAACAAATTTTTCTTTAAATAAAAAGTGTAAAGGCATTTTGAAAGCGTGATTTTTATTTTCTAATCGCAAGCGTGAACTTTTTTGTGGGGACATTTTCCTGTAAAGAATATTCAAGCATTAGTATTAGCGTAATGAGAAAGTATATCAATTATTTCATATTGTTATAGGCTTCGCTTTATCAAGTTTTTCTACTTCATCTATTATTAAAAACATGTGGCCAGGTGGGGCATTTGCGATCAATCTCTAAGCTAGAGGTTGGCACCACGCAAAATTTCTTTGACAGGTTAATTAACCGTGAAAATTAAAAGTTAACCAACTTATTTAATCACGTGCAATTTTTTATAAAATTATGTGTTTGGCGCAGAAATGTTTTGAATCACATGATTGATAAAAATTAGTTTTATTTATAATATATATGGAAAAATATTTTAAAGTTTTTAAAACAATTAAATATGGGCACAGATAAATTAACAATTGATGATTTAAATGAAGATGAACAAGGAGATGAGCATGATTCAGAAGAGGGACTTTATTATCAGCTAAAAATGGATAGAAAAGTGAATGCAATTTAATGCAATTAAAATTGTTTGCAAGTAGTTAAGTTAAAAGGCAAAATGTCTGTAAAATTTCATCCATCTTTAACATGTAATGTAACCAAGTTAGCACACGACCACTTTTCTTATTTAAATGAAATTGGTCAAAATTTCATGTGATAATCAGCTAATCAAATGGATTTTAATCATGCTCTCTAAAACCAAATGTATTTACTAAATGATGATAAGAGGCATGGTAATAGGTTAGCGATTATATCTGCTGAATGATATTCACCAATTATTCACCAATTATTCAGTTAATCAAGTGTTGAAAATTTTCACCAGTTGTTGAATTTTATTGACTGACTGATTATCCAAGTATTGAGCTTTATTGATTGATCAAGTATTCAGACACTTGGATAATCAACAGATACAACCACTATGATAGGTCACTTCAATCAGGTTAAATTACAAGGAAGATTTGCTTTAATTTAAAATAGATAGCATATAATCATTAAAAATTTTTTTTGATAATAATAAAAAAACTAATGTGAAAATTTCAATAGTCAGATAAATAAAATTTGTTCTGGTATAGTTCATTCAATTTGTTTAGAATCTGACATAGTTAATTCAATTTGTTTAGATTCTATGATTTAAAATATCATTAATAATAAATAATTAAGATTAAATATGGGGGAATAGATACATAATCTTAAAGATTATGTAGACTATGTATCTATTATAACTAGAGTATGTATCTACTAGGTAGATATAACTATGACTATGATCCTGGTATGTGTGTGTTGGCACTCTTTCTTCGAGTGTGGCTGATTCAATACTTTGGCCACATGTAAACTATCATCAGGATAATGACGTGGTCAATTTTTGTTATCAGGACACATGCGAACTATCATCAGGATAACGACGTGCCAATTCTGAATTTTTGACCACATTCGAATGTGGCGGATTCCGCTTTTTTGCCACATTTGAATTTTCATATATCTCGTACCAATTGTGTGGGCTATGCCAGAACTGGATGCAAAGCGTCCTAGCTTGCAAATGCGTATTGATGTAATTTTTCATAAAATAGACTATTTCGTGATCATGTGCTAGTAGTCTACAAAAACTTATAAATAGAACCTCTATCCCCCCACTTTGGACCAAAAAAACCAATTCGTAAAAAATACGAATATCCTATACCACTATAAATAATAACACGTTTCCTAGGCGAACTGCCAACTTTTTCGATTGCGAGGATGAGACACGAAGTGTCGAATTTGCAATCTGTATTTTGGCCTTGCATGTCGCATTTGAATTTGAGGATGAGGCGCTAAGTACCGAAATAGTGTTCATGATCTGGCTTTACATGTCGCATTCGAATGCCAGGTTCGAGGCACGAAGTGCCGAATTGTTATCTTCACTTGGTAATACGTAAAAGCACAATTTTTCTTATCTCTTCCTCAAAGCGCCATAAATTTTTCGATGTGGTAATACGCAAAGGTATCTCAACATAGTAATACGCAAGAGTGATCTGACTTTTGACATGGAAAGGTAATACCCAAAAGCACCAACTATGCGAGAAAGCTCCCTATAGACCCAAAACATAGCGTACTCGCGGTAATACGTAAAGGTAGAATAATATAAGTGTATTACTTTTATGTATTACCTTTACGTATTACCTAGAGATGGGCAGATCAGTACTATACGTATAATATAGTGCGTATAGTTCTAGAAAAATATAGTAGTAGTAGTAAATCTAAATCAATTCCTGTTTAGGTTATTGCCAAATAATAGATGTAATATTACACATAAAAATTAATTAATACTCTTCTCATGATATATATATTTTAAACTTGCCTGCAATTTGGCAACATTTTAATATTAATGTTCTAGTTCAATATCTAGATGTGAAAAA